TAACTTCTTTACCCGCATTCGTCCGTAATGTGGGAACCCTTGCTTATTTAACACTACACCCGGGCGCCGGTGTAGCGACCCTTGCACACTTTTCACTGTATTCAGGCTATACAGCGCGTCGCTTCCAGGGGACGCCCTAGCACTTACACAATGATCAAAAGGATTCATGCAGTGTTAAATGGAGGGGTGCAACACGAGGACTTCCCAGGAGGTCACCCATCCTAGTACTACTCTCGCCCAAGCACGCTTAACTGCGAAGTTCTGATGAGATCCGGTGCACTGGTGCTAGATAATAATATTAATTTATGGTAGTGATATAATAAAATTATATATAGAATGAGCAATTAGGAGATATATAATAAGAAATCACTTAATATAAAATACAAAATATTATTTTTAAATATTTTAATACTTTTAAAGAAAAAATATTCAAATATAGTATTTATCGAATATATTTTATACTAATATTTTTTAAACAAGCTAGCTCACGTGCTAAGGAGTTGAGTCGAGACTAATTTGAGCTTGGCTTATTAGCTCAATTAATGAGCCGCTTATTGAGCCAAGCTCGAGCCGGCTTGTATGTATGTATGTATGTATGTATGTATGTATGAGCCGCTTATTGAGCCAAGCTCGAGCCGGCTTGTGTGTGTGTGTGTGTACATTATATACTTAATTAGATACAGAAAAATACATAGTATCAAGTGGCTAGAGAGCAACCAAATTCCAATATGTTCCCCAGCTGGAGTTGGTCCTCATTCTTCTTCTTCCTCCTGGAATAGTCCTGTCATTCCTCTTCCGAAGATTGGCTCACCTGATCTTGGTCTAAAGTGTGCTGGAGATGTGCAGGTAGTACCCACAATAGGTTCTAGTATATGTGAAGCATGAGTTGCCTCTACACCGGAAACTTCCTGAAGAAGTGGAGCTACGATACTCTTCTGATTGTCAGTCTGAACACTATCATTTGTAGGTAATAATCTATCAGTATTGTTTCCTATGGGGTTTGAAGGTGTCAACATCACATCACTCGCAGTAACAATAACAATAGTGTCATGGGGTAGTGTCATGGTAACAATAGTGTCATGGGGGGGTTCCTTAGGGGCAATATATACCTCATGTATGGTAGTATCCTCCGCAGATGGAACTAAAATGTTCAGAGCAGTGAGGTTAGAGCCATCCTTATTCACTTGAACCTTAGATTTCAAATTTGGATGAAACTTGTGGCATTTTTCAAGGACATAAATAACATCTTACAGTGGGTCCGTGCTCCATGACGATTTGTTGCCAATAAGAACTCCCAAGTCCCATCTGACATAATATATGGCTTAGGCCCCGTTTGGGGCAGTTTATAAGTGCAGGCTGGGTTTTGAAAAGACCCATAGTGTTTGTTTCCAGCATTCGAAGTGCGTTTTACGCGGCCGCGGGATCGACTCCACGGCCGCGGGATCGACCCCACGGCCGCGCATTAGATCTGCGTTTCGGCTAGTTTTTCCTTCCGTGCCCTCAGCTCGGCTCTCTCCCTTGCTCAACCTACAGACCTCCACAACTTGTTTTAAATTCTAATAAATTAAAACGAAAATGGTGTTTCTAAAAGAAAAAAAAAATTGTGCATCTTTAGGACAATTCAAAGCATGCTTTATGTTAAGAATATTAAGCAGGAAATTTGGGTTAAGTGCATTGCAAGCTATTACTCTTGTCATGTATAGACTTCTCTCATAATTATGAATAATACTTTACCTAATGAGAAGTTTTTGATGAAAGACGACCAAATATTTTTCTTCTTTGAATATTTGTTAGATTAACTTTGTCCGTAAATTTGATATATTTTTCAAATGCATGATAATAAATTTATCAGGCAGATGTCTTTTACTCATAACGAGTCTAGAAAATTTTGAAGGTGTACTGATCCAATTACATTACAGATATGCATCTCTAAATGTGTTTTTTATTGGAGCAATTCATGATGGATTCTTGATAAATTTCTTCTGTAGTTTGTCTCTAATTTTGAAGCAAAAAGGACATTAAAGATGATACTTGTCCATCGTCTTACCTTTAAGGTTGCTCGAGACTCTTCTACTCCCTTTCATTCTCTTAGAAAAGTTGTCGGAAGTCTAGTGTTCATGATCAAGCTTTAAAGAGGAAACAAGATGCTGTTAGAGTTAATTGTGTTATTTTGAGAATCTTTAACTAAGTTTTATAGTAGAAGATAAAGAGGAAGCCTGTTGAGATGTATGGTGATTGGATGATTGAAAATTTTCTTATAAGGCTTATTATTTTAGTACTTTTCTATTAATAAATAGACAACCCGTCTTTCAAAATGGCCAAGGATATCAGTTTTTGGAAATATACCCTAGAGAAGCAAATGGACTTGATTCTCTTTTCTTTTAACATTTCTTCGATTTTACGGAAGCGGGTTTGGAAGATGAAGAGTGAGATTGGTAGGTTTTCTTCTGATTTTTTTAGAAAACCAACTTACAGATAATTTTACAAAAATGTTTGCTGACAGATCACCTCCATATTGTAAGAAGCAAGTTTGATCTTCATGAGTTCGGCATTAAGTGGGACTCTTCAATTTAATGTCTCTTACGTAAAAAATGATCATCCTTTTTGGTTCTCTTATTCCTGAGAAAGGTGAGTATGAAGTTACACATTTAATATAGGTGGATGGATCTTCACCGCAGCTTCTAACATCCAAGGTCTTTATCTACTAAGCTAGCTAGCACCCACTCCAAATATTCTTACAATAATTATACTTTCTATAATCATTATTCTCCATATCTTTCTTTTGATGATATGGTTTGAATTTCTTCTTTTTGATTTTCTCAGCCTTGATCAAATGTTATTGATTGTGACTTCCTTGTGTGAAAGCTAGAATTATTCTATGCATTGAAATGTAGAATGAAGTTGCAGTTGATCCAAATGATGAATCCTTTTAGGATGTAGGATCCTTTATTGTCTGAGATTAATTTAAAAAATTCTTGTTTAGCTGTAATTCCGTATGCTTGTATTTGTTGATACACCAGAACAGGTTAAATTTTTTTTGCTCTTTCTCCTAACTTATTCCTGCTCGCAGCTAAATAAACACTTTTGCATAATTCTTCTTCGAGTTTCTATTTCAAGTTTTGCTCGTATGAATAGAATGCTCAGGTTTTTCCCAACTAAGCCGTAGAGCACTGGCATCAATTTTTTATGTGCTTTGTCTGCAAGGAATTCTATCCCTTAATAGTTTGGTGACTTTGATTTCTCCATACATTTTTATCTTTACTCTTTCTCAGCTATTATTTAGATTGCCATCTGTTTTTCTACGAATGACCAAGGTTTGATATCTTTAAATTGTTTTGATTCTGGGCTACTGGAATTTTATAGTTATTTCATCATAAGATTCATGTCTTGTAATGCCTTTAGATCGGGCTTTTGTCTGGATTTTGATTGATGGGAGGAGGCAATATTATCACTTTTAGTTGTTAACGTGCAATATTGGTTATTACCGTTCTTCTTTCATAGGGGCCATCGTCCCAAATCTCAATAATCTGCGTGATAGGGCTGCTTTATTTGTGTTACAATATTTTCTTCTTGTAAACAATCCTAATTGATTTCTTTGTTGTAGGATGATTCTTATCTGGAGAGTTACATCAGTACCATTGGAGTCGATTTTGTAAGGCTATTTATTTACTCTTGTGGACCGTGCATTAGATTTAGTTCCAGTAAATAATCATGTTTTTCATTTGTATGCAGAAAATACGCACTGTCGAGCAAGATGGAAAGACTATTAAACTTCAGATTGTGAGTTACATAAAATTTTACAAGTATATGATCTTTGTGTTGGCTGAAAGCACGCTATTATTTATTTATTTTCCCAACAAGTGATGAAATTGTTACGAATTCATAAAGCAACTTCTATAGGATAGTAGAGCAGTCAAATAGTAGGGATTGGTCAATATTTTTATAATCCTCCAGTTATCATTATGTTATTTAACAGTACTTTCATGTTTGTGGAAATAAAGTTTTCTACATTACTGAAGGTTCAAAACAGTTGGATTATCTTCAAGTGTTGACTTATATAATTCATTTGTTACTATATGGGGAATTTCTTTTTTTTTTTCTCTCTCTTTTAGCTTTGAACAAGGCTATTAACTAGAGCTTTTCCTTGAGATCTTTTTCTCTCTCTCTCTTTTAGCTTTGAACGAGGCTATTAACTAGAGCTTTTCCTTGAGATCTTTTTTTGGTAAGATTTATATACATACTACTTAATTCCTATGTATTTGCATATCTAACACCCGAACTTCAGTTTTTATATATGTCATTTTACCTTTGTATGAAAATGTTTATTTCACTTTTAAAAGTTGATGTACTGGTATCTTTGAAGTGATATGAAAGATTTGGGTGGTATAAATGCAAAAAAGTGAGTTTATGTGTTGGATATGTAAATACATAGGAATTAGGTGTTATGTATTTAAATGCCCATTTTCTTGATGAAAAAGCGCATTGCTTCGTTTACCCATATCTGAATTCTGTGCATAATTCATGCACTTCTGCTAGAATTTTAGTTTTGAGCGCTTTGTGATTTATTTTATTTTGATATATGATTTCCACAAATGAGGTGTTTCACACAATTTTGCAACAGTGGGACACTGCCGGGCAAGAACGCTTCAGGACAATTACCAGTAGCTACTATCGTGGTGCGCATGGGATAATCGTATGCACTTCCTGGCTTTCACTTCCTTTATTAGAACTGTTTAAATCCTTTTACCATTAGAAAATTAAACGCCGAATCATCTTAATGGTTCTATCAGGTCGTTTATGATGTAACGGACCAGGAAAGCTTCAACAATGTCAAGCAATGGTTGAATGAAATTGACCGCTATGCTAGTGACAACGTTAACAAGCTTCTTGTTGGAAACAAATGTGATCTTACTGCAAATAAAGTTGTATCTTACGAGACAGCAAAGGTAATCCCAGAAATACTAAATATTATTATGGGCATTCACATGCATACCACTCGATAGTTATGTATTTACAGATGTAACACCTAACTTTTGACATTTATAGTTCCGAAATCTTCTATATCACATCAAAATACCAACATTTTAACTTCTAAAAAGTGAAATATATCTTTTCATGCATAGGTAAGGTGGTATGTGTGTAAAAATTGAATTTTAGGTGTTAGATATGTAAATACACAGGAATTGAGTGGTGTGTATGTAAATCTTCTATATTATTATTAGGCTGTATTTGACATTGAACTTTTGAATGCATAATACCCCAGTTTTGATTGCTCCCTACTCGAGTAAAATTGTCAGTTTTCTATGCCATTACTTTTAGGGAAATTTACGTGCACACAACATAATTCTTATGTATTTACATATCTAATATCTGAGCTTTTATATTTACATGCATACCACTTTGGTGTAATAAACCTATGCTTGAGGATGTGTATTCCACTTATAAAAATAAGTGATAGTGGTATTTTTTATGTGTTATTAAAGATACGAGTGTTAGGCATTAAAATATGAAAGTTTGGGTATTAGATGTGTAAATACATAAGAATTTTGTGGTATGTATGTAAATGCCCCTTACTTTTAATGAATCTCTATTAAAATGAGAACAAAGAGACTGCATTATACTATTTAAGCCTACGACTCATTAAGGCCTAATTGTTCTTTTTTTTTTCTCCTAAAAAAGTTCAGACATATCTTTTTTATTTGAATGAACTTTAGGCTTTTGCTGATGAGATTGGAATACCATTCATGGAGACCAGCGCCAAGAATGCTACTAATGTTGAACAGGCTTTCATGGCCATGGCTGCAGATATCAAGAACAGGTCAGCTACCATCTTTTCAAATATGTACATACATACCACTAAATCCCTATGTATTTACATACACACCGCCTTACCTATGCATGAAAAAAAAGTAAAGTTTAGCTGCTAGATATGTAACTGCATAGGAATTGGATGGTATGTATGTAAATATCCCCATCTTTACTTACCTTTACCACATCTAAATAAAAAACTCCTATTTTATTTCTTCTTGGTGGTTTTGTTTCAGGATGGCGAGTCAGCCAACCATGAACAGCGCAAGACCGCCGACAGTTCAAATCCGCGGACAACCTGTTAGCAACCAAAAGAGCTCATGCTGCTCTTCCTAGAGGTTCTCATTGTTCTGTAAACATAGTGTTCAGTTTCATATATTGAAATCATGACAAAACGCCTTTTTCTGCCTGATTGTTTGCCTCATTGCACCTTAGAACTATTATAAAATCTCATTCTTTCCATTTATACAATTATTTCTATTGTGGACCCCTTAAAAAAGAAAATTAGGTCTTTATAATTGTATGTAATTTTACTGTACTATTCATGCTCGTGCAAATATGATCTTCATTAATTTTATGTGGTATGGTTGTTGAAATTGAACTGAATCTGGCCATACAGAGCATGGTCGTTGATGCGTGCCTTCATAAATTTGCATACGTTTAACTGGGTCGAATGGAAGTTAAAACTGAGGAAATATTAAATAATAAAATTGTTTTAATATAGTTTATGTAATATTGTAATGATATAATATAATATTTTAATTTATTTATTATGTAATATTTTAGTTTAACACAATAGAATGTTGGATATTTTTAATCTGACTTATAATTGAAGTTATAGGACAGTGATTTAATTGTTTTTCTCTTTTTCTTTTTTTTTTAATTGTAATTATTTAATTTAAAAGAAAAGGCTACTGGTCAGTTCTATACAACTGTGATTTAGATTTAGGGTATGTTTGGGGCAGGTTGAAAAATAATCTACTGTTTAAAAAGTTGCGGACTGCAGCTAAAAAGTTGTTATCACATCTAGCTAAAAATGATGTGAAAATGCTAATTTTAACCGTTTTAAAATGTAGTTTTTTTTTTAAAAGCTGGCAAAATGCGGCTTTCCCAAACAGAGTACGTTTTGAAAACGCACAACCGAACAAGCTGCCCTAAATGGGGCTTTAAGCTTCGTTTGAAAGAGTTTAGCTGTTCACGTTGGCAGAATATAGAAGGCCACTTGCAATCTAAAAGGTGAAAGATTCAGAAATGTTTCTCATCCTAACAAAAGTTTTGTTAATAAAAACAGTGACAAATTGCCTTTGTTACAAATATATTTGTTTATTTTTGTATATGCAGACATTTTGAACGTTAAAGTACATGAATTATCAATGATTATTTTTAATAACTTCCAACATTTTTATCAAAGAAGGTTTACACACATGCCACTCAATTTTTATTTATTTACATATATAACACAAAAACATACATGCCTATGAAAAAGGTATAATTTTTTATTTATTTTTAATGTTAAAATAATGATATATTTGATGTGATATGGAAGACTAGGGTGCTATAATATAAAAAATAAAATAAAATTTTGTTATAATAGATGTAAACACATTAGAATTATGTGGTATATATGTAAACACCCCTTTCATTAATACGTTTAGCAGGAATCTCAGCCTACCATTTTTTTTTTCACTTTTTCACGAGCGCATTCACTTTTTTTTTATGACCACACCAACTATTTATTGACCGTTGAAAGTGTTGAATAAAGGTACTGCCTCTATATATCATCATAGCCACGTTTATTGCATAAATAAAATCACATGTGCCATTAAATGAATTGACACCCCAAACTCTCTTTCTAGTGCCCATTTTCTCTTAATATTTCTAGCATGTCATTTTAGAGCCATCATATGATTTGAATTTCAGAAAACAATCATCCCATAAATACATTTTAACAAATTATGAATAGGAAATAGTTTTTACATATTTTAATAACTTCACATTCAAAACCTTGTAATTATGATATATTTTAACAGAGCAGGGCTAGCACATTATTGGAAAGTATTGACTTTAGATATAAAAGTCCGCTCAAGAACACAACTTATCATACATTCGACATTGCGTATTGTAGCGAAGGACGGGTCATTCCTTCGCATTGTGCATGCTGGTTAATATTTATATGCATAACACTTAAATATTTGATATTACATAAACGAAAGATTCACTATAGTTATTTTTTAGAGGTGAAAATGAGTATTCAAGTTTAGATTTATGAGATTACAATGTTATGACTAAAAATATAAAATTAACTTAACCCCATCCATACCATGCCGCTGCATTTCATGCAATCATAGTCAATAATTTCTTATGCTTTCAGAATGAAATTTTATCTTCTCAAAAGGGCTCAAATGATCATTCAAAATTGAGATTTTGTTTTCATGCTCTGCTTCTCTTCCTTGGAAGCCAATTGCTCCTCAATGTTTATCCTAAGAAGAACTGTACAGACAACTGAGGACAAGGATGACCAAAATATACGCATCCCGAAGAGCCGTCGCTTCCTGGGGACAGTACTGTAAACATTTATTAATAATTTTCACTTATACAAAATAACAAGTGCAGATACTCTTCAGACTT